AGTTTACTCTCTTTACAGAATTGTTTTCCCTTTAATGACTATCGCTGATGCCAAGTGGTGTGGTAATGCACTGCGACTCGTTCCACCGGAAAATCTGGCAACTACCTGCTGATACTGGTTGTAACTATCAGTTTTTCCCTCCACATTTAAAAACATGCGTTTAGATTATTTGGCTGCTATACATTTCCACGTGATGAGCCACTTCGTTGAGCTATCATTTTTGGCCAGGTCGCTTCTGAAAATGAGCTATACAGCTCAGTGGGGCTCACCTGGTAAAATACAAAAATAGTTTAAAAATAAGTTTAATATTGCCACATTTGTTCACGTGACAACTTTATTAATTGGCTGTATTGGGTGGAGGAGGGTGTCGACACAAATTTTCCTCGTGTGATTGAACCCAAAAGTTGTGCTTTTACCATTAATCTAAAAAATATAAACTTCATATCTGCAGAGATATATAAACTGTTATATATATTCTGTCAGGACAGGTAAGTCCACTTTCCATTAATGATTTGAACTATAAACAGGTTTTCTTTGTAAAAATAAGCTCAACTTTTAATGATGTAAGGGGAGACAGGCAATATTTAAAAAGTTTGTTTAATGTTTTTAAAGGTAATTAACTGCCAAGTGTCGTTTTCAAATTATTATCTTCACAATAAAAGCTCTTTCCAAGATTTAAAAGTTTAACTTTCACACTTCTACTCACAAGAGATGTCATTTCAGTTTAAAATTTACCCATTTAGGTGGCCGGGAGGCTCAGAGGTCATTGAGTCGGCACATTTGAGATCCTTGGTTCGAGTCCAGGATTGTGCCACCCGTGATTGAACCGGGTTCTCAAGTTGAGCAAGTTGATGGTCTCGGCTTGGTTACCTCCAGCTCTGAACATTAAAAATGCTGGATTGTAAGACACGTGACAAACGCCCTGCGCATGGTGGATTAAAGGCAGGCTCGGTGCATTGGTAAAGAGGACGATTGAAGTTCAAGTGGGGAGCAGTGGCGCAATTGTTCGCACACTGTGCTACGAACCCGGCGACTCGAGTTTTATCCCCGCTCATGGCCAACAGCAGTGACGATTATTATCCGAACCGGTCCTGGGCCTTCCCTAGATCAACTCAGCTTTAATTAAGTACACGGTGCGGTGTATAAACATTGCCAGTGGGGTGACAAAGGCGGCCAGGCATGGCAACCCACCCCCTCGTGTGCCGTGCCGGCTTTCATAGGTGCTCGCTAACAGCACTTGCCCCAAAACTCTGTTCAGGCTATTCGGGGGAGCTTTGTCTTGAAGTTCAAGTGACTCAAAGCCCTGCCTGCTGTCATAGTTTTGAACGAAAATGTCATTGTCTTGTGACATGACACCAGTGGCGTTACAGCAGTGGCGTTACAGCAGTCGCATTACACCAGTGATACAACCCTAGGTTTGCGATGCATCCATCGCACAGGTAAACTAAGTGTACAATAACAGAGCTTGTGAATTTTAAGCATTATATAATGCCACATACAGCAGCTCGTTCTCATTCCACAGCCGCATGAAGTCCTCCCCACACCGTGTCTGCCATAGGGATTGTTTTACTATACTTCACCGCACTGGTCAATGTGAGTTGGTGAAGTTGGGGGTTGGCGGGGTGGTTGGGGCCTTGGGCTGGTTGAGATATCACTCGTCACAAACGATATTCACCATGGCCAAGTATTGCCTGGCGAAGGTCGCCATGTTGGTAGTGCAGTGCACTACCCATGGCTGCCTCCAGGCCGATGCAACTCAGCGGTCCGTTGAGTTGCGTAATTTCCTTTTGACAGAATGCGGCATTCGGCGCGGAGGTTGTGTCGGATGTACCCTTGGGAAAATGTACAGATTATTTAGGATTTATAAACTTGGGGTCGTGTGTTTTCGGTTCCCCCCCCCACCTCCAAATAATTACACAATGAATAACCAATTGAATGAGAACATTCGGTATCTGCACTGTTCTTGTAGCACAAAGGCTATCTCGAAAGCACTGTAGTTACGATCAGACACCTGGCATGGTACACGGTGTCTCAAGTGGGGAGCACTCGAGGTGCAGGAGGAGTCTGGCGAGATTCACTCTCAATTCCTGGGCACGCACGAAGACACAGAACAGATGCTGTGCGGCCACGCCACAGTCCCTCATCAAGCCAGGATGTTAACTGTGTTTCTGTTTTGATTACGGATATTAAAATCTCTTCTGGAGGCCCTCAGTATTAATTGGGTAATAGTTTAAGGACGTCAATCCAGCGAATCGTGACCATCCGAGTGTGCTTTTGGTGTGGTGTACGATGCACGCTCAAAGGTAGCTTTCTTTTTTACACGCTTTTTATTAACTCACTCTGTTGTATCCTCAAATCTTGTCACTCAATTTTTACCCACTTCCCAATGTGGTTTCGACTGCAAACTTGGTATACTTATGTCATACTTATGACAATGCTATATTCTATCATTAAATATAAAAAATATATATTTTTAAACATTCTTTTTTATGTTATGTTTCGGCTTGGGTCTAATTGTCCACGCTCAACTGACGTTAGCTGTAAATCACCACGGTCCCTTACATTATGGCAAACTTCGGGCTCACTTCCTGGAGTCGTGGAGTTCTTCCATTACTAGTACGGTACATTTCATTCAAGCGTGTTTTTTAAAAAGTTTTTTTAAATATTACTTATTTTGCAACGACTTGTCGCCATGCTGTCCCACTGGCCGCTTTCCTCTGTGCCAGGCAAGGAGAGTTGTGGACTCTTGAGCCATGCGAGTTCGGTCTAACGTTCGAGTACAATGGTCACCGGTACTGACTTTACGGCTGTCTGAGTTCACAATAAAACGCCTCGCTCACACACTCGCTCAATCAAACAAGCTGCCAGGCTGGCACATTGAGGGGGAGCCCTTTGCTTATGTCATGGGATTTTGACAGCACAAAGAAATGCTGTGCGCAGAAACACGTCGGTGCCCAAACTGACACCCGCTCGGCTCCCACCCCATCCTCGGGTTACTGCACCACCTGTCCTGGGGTTTTAACCAGGATCATCGTCCTCTGTCCTGGGAGCTTTGCAAGTCTGTCTGAGAAGTGTAAAAGTCCCGGTTTGTGTTGGTTGCGTAATAATAATACAGTCGTTCCCTGGTTAAACAGTGACATTGGTTCACAGTTTTTCGGTTAACATTTCGCCTTCCATAGGACCCCATGGTTTTGACTAATATTATTTTGATGACCGGTATGTGTTTACGTTATGTATGTGGGGTACCAATTTCGGCCAATCCGAGCGCTTGTCAGTGGGTTGAAACATGCCCTCAGCCAATCAGCGATGCCCATTTATGAGCTTTTAGACCTCGACTGGCTTTGTTTACATTACGTTTTCTGTCTTGGCAGTGGAAACAGCTCTCTTGCAGACTGTGATTATTGTGCTTATTTCTCAACTTATAAGTCAATTCGATTAACAATTATTTCGGTTCACAGTAGTTTTTGTGGAACGGATTATAAAAACGTGAACCGAGGGACCAATGCAATAACGACGACGTACCGTGAAGGACGACACACCTTTTGGCCGTCATTGCCAGCGGATACGGCTTGCTGCTCGTTCGCAGAATTGCACAGGGTCACGAGCGTTATACGGTGCAATGCTCGGATGATGCGGTCAAGTACAGTCATCCCTTCTTCCCGTATTGTTGATAATCTCCTTCTTCCCCATAATCTGTCTTTGATTTAAAGAGGGCTGTAAAATTTGACACTGGAGTTGCAGCGGCACTTGTCTTTGGTTCAATAAGCAATCGATGCGGTGATGTCTTTTGTTATTTCTCACAAGTCATTAAATACATGTACGGCAAGCCAGGCCACAACATATGTGCGTAGCCACAAGTTAAGAGCTGTTTGAGGTGACCTGGTGGCTCAGAGGGCAGAGCGCTGAGCCAACGCCACTGAGAGTTAAATTCTGGGCCTCAGTTGTCCTCTGATGAAACTGGCTTCAAAAGTGTCGTGAATTGATGTCCTTATTCCAATCACCAATGATTGCGCACACAATAAAACCCATCAAATTAATTTTAGTCTTTCACTAAGTTTGGTTTAATTGTCTGCCAAGCAGTGAATTGGTTGAATCATCAATAGCAGCAGCAGCTATGGTCAATCCACCGCTGGATTAAAGCCTGCCAAGCTGCTGCCATCTTACGATCCTGCGATAGGGTTGCACCCCTGGGCTTAGTTTCTCAGCGAATATCTTCTGGGTCGTTTAATAGATTGGAGTAGGCTTGTGAGACATGGTGCCTCGAGCTAGGTGGTATACTGAAAGTGTCGTGCCGCGTGTGGAAATACTTTCTGGGTCACTGAACCGAAAAAAATCTGGACTGATATTAAGCCCTGGTTACCAATGCTGCAGTTTAGTATACCTATTTATACTGCTAAAGTAAACTTAACTTTTTTTTATTTTACCAGGTAAAGCCCACTGAGCTAAGAAACTCTTTTTCATAAGTGACCTGGCCACAAATGAGAGCTCAACTTTTATTTATTTTGTATGGTATGTAAGCAACAGTTTCTTGAATGGTAAGGTCCTTCAACCAATCCAAGGCGGCAGTAGAAGCTGTATGGATTGCAGTAATGCCGCCAGAGTGTGCATGGATGGCACACTTGTCGTTGATGTGTTTGATGCTCAACGAAGTGGCTTATCACGTTAAAAAATGTAGCAGCCAAATACTCTAAACGCCTGTTTCTAAATGTGGAGGGAAAAACCAGAGTATCCGGAGAAAAATCCACGCGACCACGCGAACTCCAAATATACAGCAGGCGTCAGAATCGGGATCGAACCCACAACCTCCTGTATACCAGACGAGGTAGTTAATGTCTCACCACGGTGGCGAGTAGTGGACAAGAAGCGGGCAAACAGATTTGAGAAATTCGCCGGTAGATAAAGCCCTACTACCTGCTCACCATCATTTATGAGGAGGGCAACTGTAAATTAACGACGGATCCTGCGCGTGCACCTGTGCCATCCGTTCTCTTCTTTTCCAGAGGCGTGTTCGATATCTTCGTGAAGATAGATGGGGCGCCCAAGAAGGTGGGCTGCTATGACAACCGGGGCAGCTTCGGCGAGCTGGCGCTCATGTACAACACGCCGCGAGCCGCCACCATCGTGGCCACCACCGAAGGCTCGCTCTGGGCCATGGTGGGTGCACGCACTGCTCGCACGCACACGCGTCATCACGCTGTCGCCTTCTTCCTATCACGTCCAGCTTCCTTGAAGGGGGGGGAGGCTGCGGGGTCCACGAAATTCCAACGTAAGCAGCAGTAGCAGGATAGTTCGAATGAGACAAAACATTCGGTACTCTTTGGTTCTTTCGGTAAAGTCACGTAGGTAGAAAAATAATAGATCTTGACGTTCCGATTGCAACACAAGCAATCGTCATCAGGTGGGACAACCACAGCAAGAAACAACTGCTGAAGTAGGCGAGAGATCTGCCGTGGCACGAGGTTATATAGTAGGCCTCGGCAGTAGGGGGGAGAGAGAAGGTGGGGGAGGAGGCGGGGCAGAAAGTAGACCCCGCAGCAGCACCCGGGTCACTGGAGTAGAGATCGGAGAGAGATGCGCAGAGAGAGACACACAGAGAGTCAGAGATAAACTTTACCTGGTTAATAACGTCCTTCCAATGAGCAAACTGAGCAATCATTGGAAGGACGTTATTAACCAGGTAAAGGCTTAACTGACTGTGATGTTTCCATCCTACCTGCCTATGGCAGCTGTTATTTCCGACTCTATGTGTCTTTCTCTCTCTCTCTGTACATCTCTCTCCAATCTCTACTCCAGTGACCCGGGTGCTGCCGCAGGGTCCACTTTCTGCCCCGCCTCCTCCCCTCCTTCTCTCTCCCCCCCTACTGTCGAGGCCTACTATATAACCTCGTGCCACGGCAGATCTCTCGCCTACTTCAGCAGTTTTTTCTTGCTGTGGTTGTCTCACCTGATGACAATTGTTTGTGTTGCGATCGAAACGTCGTGATCTATTATTTTTCTACCTACGTGACTTTACCGAAAGAACCAAAGAGTATGGATTCCTGCAGTCATGAAAGCTTCAAATCAAAACAGTGCCTGGTAGACCATGTCCTGAATTTGGGTAGAGTATTCGACGAGGTGAAATTCACCGAAGCGGTAACCATGGTCGTATCGTTCGAAGTATCGATTAGCACGGTTGGCTACGCACAGTGCGGAAGAAGTTCAACATACGTACGAGAGCGATAAGGATGCGACCGATGGCCGGCGAGCGGGTTGCCTAACCCTTTCTGTGTTCTCTGACCCCCCTCTCGGTTCCATCCACTCACTTCTGGTGATGCAGGACCGGGCAACGTTTCGGCGAATCATCCTGAAGAACGCTGCGCAGAAGCGCAGGATGTACGAAGCCTTCATCGAGTCTGTACCCCTTCTCAAGTCCCTCGATGTGCGTACCACACAACCCCGGGACCTTGCCCGGAGCCTGAGGCTCTGCGCCGTCACCTTTAGCTGCCCGTAACTTTGTTGCGTTTGTTGACCGCTCCGACTTGCTGCTTCTGTTTTTGTAACAAAGGTATCGCTTTACTGATCCACCTCAACCGGTAGCAACATCCAATTGTCTTACAGGCTTCAGCCGATTATTAGATGCGCAATTTTCCTTTGCATTTTAATGCTAATGTTGGAATTTGCGTCTTATCTGGTAGCTGTTTTCTGTTGAGACCAGATCTGTATAACATTGTCAATGACCACAAGTTTGGAGTGTGTTACTTTGTAGAGCATCTTATAATTTGAAGAATATGGTCATTTAGTAGAGGGTGGGAAAGCCTGAGGCCAAAGGAACTCGCTTGTACCAGGCAGGGTATCGAGACGGTTAGGGGCACCTTATCAACCTCTGAATGAAATAAATGATAGAGCAAATATTATTTCGTAAAGAAATTACGTCTCCAATAACTAAAGTGATTTGTTTATATGTGTTCAAGAAGATAGACAAATCTATATTGAGTACAACCACCTGCCATGTTGAATTGTCGTTCTGCTGCCGTGAAGACCCATATTCACGTGGCCATACCCAGCCAATTGCAGCGCTTTTGTGTGTGCAACAAACAACAATAATTTATATTGATGTTTTGCACCATTGCTGTGCTTTGCCGAGCATTGGGCAACTTTGTTTCCCAGTGGCTCGTAGTAATTGGAGAAACGCGGACAAAAGGCATTGTTGTAAGCAACGGTTTTTCAAAACATATTCATGCTGCTCAGCTAAATGTGATCCTTGCAGCCCTTGCGTGTAAACGCCAACGCAGTGGAGCTCAGTGATGTAAGCGCACTGGCTGTGATCAATCCACTGCTGGACAGAGGCTTGTCCAGGCCATCACTTTCCTTCATGATCCTGCGATGTAAGGATACATCTAGCACCTGCGCACAATCCTATTTAAGCGCTCCATCTCCACTGTGGACGTACGCTCTCTCAGATGCGTTCCATCACTTTGGCCACCAATCCATCGTTAGTCTCGACCGCCGGCGATCGTCCCTTCTAGCGACACATCCTGCCCAAGCCCAATCACTCAGTCAGTACGGTGTCTCCCAACGTTCTTAATTTCCTCTAATCTAATGTACACGTGACCTACACGTTCAATTATCATTTCGTTATGTTATGCTCACCACTGCTAGATGTAACTGCAGTGGTGAGCGTTAGCTTTTGCCAAATGAATTGATCTATGATATGTTGACACTTTCCTTCGAACAGTACCAAAGATCATTACACAATGGACGAGAATTGGATTTAAAGCCAGCGGATGAGTTACTGTCACCTTGCCTGGAAATGATTTACCATAATATTCGATGCCAGTGATGGCTATGTATCCTAAATTTAATGGCAGTGGAGCAGTGGCGCAGTGGTTTGCACACACTGCAACATAAACCCCAGGCGACCCGTGTTTCATTCCAGACTGTGGTTAACATCAGTGGTGAGTAGTTTCTGAATCGATTGTGGACTCCCCCTCCTGACCCTATTTCACTAATCTGCACTGACCAGCGTGGCGATTTATGGTCAAACTTCCCCCCCTGACTAAGAACATGTCGGAGGTCTTCATTTAGCAGTGATTGACAAAGGGCTCAACTTTATGACATTGTTTAACAATAACCGTACCTTGATTTTAGTTTCAGACATGACCCTGTTCTCACATTTGGATATCTTTTAGCCAGGGGTCAGCAAACCTGCGGCTCCGGAGGCTGCATGCGGCTCTTTAAGGAACTGCTTTCATGAATGTTAATTAGTAAGAACCACTGCCTCGTATTTAATTGAGTTTTTTTTTACCAAATTAGAAAAAAAAATTTTTTATTGGTTTCCGACCCCTGCCTTAGGGCCATCTCGTGCTGGTATATAAATATATATTGGCCCAGGTTATGTTTGTATTTAAAGGATGTACGATGCCCTTAGTATTAAAAGATAGATGGTGGCCAGGATGGATGGTGGGCGGCCAGTATCGGAGCGTAACTCCTCTTTCCTAACGATTACTTTTTGAATTCATTTTGTTGTGGGTTTAAAAATTGAGTGTGGTTGCTTTCACAAATGGGAGCATTGGAGGCTATATATCAACCACAGATGCAGTCCCGTAATTTATACTCGGCTGCAGCCCATCCCATGCCCAGAGCCAATACCCAGTGAACAAAGCGCTGCTCAAATGGAATTGTGCTGCGGCGGGGGAAGGGGGTTCGGAGTGGCTCTCAATGATTAATGCTGAGCTGGTGCCCGTGTTAATTTTGTTTGCGAAATTAGTGCCCAAAATATTTTGTCAGCTGAAAGGTTTACATTTTTTGGGGTATTTTGGTCAACAGTGACTGTGAGTGGACGAGATCATCAGGTTTGACAGTGGCTCTGATTTCCACAATGATGGCCAAAGCCTGACCGGCGGTGTTCAGACGGGACTTAACGAGTCCGCATGAAGATGCCAGACTTAAGATAATGTAACTAATTATTCTGCTGATGCTGCTGCATTGGCAGTGGTGAACAAGAACAAATAACAACAACTCAACACGCTCATTAATAACAACACCGTGGCCTTGAGTGAAAATAATATGTTTAAAAGGATCCTTTTATGGCAGTGTTATTGATGAACTTGTCCAGTTTTAGATAATTTAGTAACGTTTAAAATTAGAGACTGCAGTGCACTGAGGAAGACCAAAATGGTTATTGTATGTGTATATATATGTGTGTCTATATATATATGAAAGGTGTACTATGAAGTTGACCGATTGAATTCTGGCTGTCGCCTGATGAACCTGGTTGTAATTACTGGCAAAACGTTGTACTCGAATTGTAAATGTAGTGGATTTACTCTCCAACGCACCGGAGTGCTGTACTGTTAACTAATTGGCATGTTTTGTGTATGTGACAAACCTTAGTAATTGGCTGTGTTTGGTGGTGCCGGGTTTAACGATACATTTACGTGATGTCGCCCAAAAAAAACCTCTTATGGACGAACATTACTTTCGGTGACAGGGCAGATGAGAAATTGGAGCAGAGGTCACTTCCAGGCATCTCTAAGTAGTTCTATGTCATCCACTATTGCAGGCCGTTCTCTTTCACAGAGTTGCCCTGCTCTGCGAGAGTTCCGAACTGATCCATCGTTTGTTGACACTGATAGAACTATCGGAATAGAATTGGGAAAAAGAGACAAAAAAATATACGAAAGAATAAAAATCCTTAATTTTGGGATTTGACTTAATTTGCCATATTCTACCTCAGAGCTAAAATTGTGATTGTATTTACGTGATGAACACGCTTAGCACGTCGGATAAAATCTGTGCCGCCTGGCAGTTCTGTGACGTTATCCTCCCAAGCCCATTCTCTCTATGCAAAGGTTTTTGCAATGCCTTTTGTGACTTTGACATTTTGTGAGTAGCACAATTGAGCGCCGATTTGGAGGACCGGGGAAAGGGAAAGAAAACGATACAAAATTAAATGACACTGCAGATTATGACCCCTACCTAATAAATCAATACATTATTATTACTGTTACTGCTGCCGTACATCCAAAGGAGAGGCGAGCCACAACTCTGCTGTCAAAGATTAAAAGCCGGCACCTTTGATGTGGTCACGGCGAGCGCAATGGCTCTGATTTTACGAGCCCAGCAAGGCAACCCCAGCCGCTGGCACTCCCTGAGCTTGCTCTCACGGTCTCTTAAACACAACACAGAGCTCGGCGTTTCAACATCGGTTTTTCTTCGTGCCGACAACAGAATCCCAAGGTGCAGCAATGCTATACAGGGAGTGTGATCCGGTGCTTTGGAGGTGAGGGTTGGTGGATCACGTGGCTGTTTTTGAGCTGGAAGTTGTTCAAGTGTGAATCCATAGGACTGTCGCCCATCTGCAAGGGGCAAATTAGTCTCACCTCCTTGCATGTTTAGGGTTTTAATTGGTTTGTTTATTCAGGAACCTCACTGAGTCTTGGATCTCTTTTTTCAGGAGGGTCTTGCCAAGATTTCGCAGTTGGGGGGGGCAACATTGCTGCTGCTGTATGTGATCCCAATTGAGTAACTTGCAGATTACTTTAAACGATGGGAGGAAACCGCGTAACCTGGAGAAAACACATGCAATGACAGGGCGAGAACGTATGATAAACTCGACACAGAAAGGCCGCCCGAGTTTGGGGATTGAACCCAGGCCTTCCTCGCTGTGAGGCGAAAGCATTAACCACTGCACCACCACCCTGCCATGGAGTTGGTGAACAGTGTTGCACCTTTACCTAAGAATCATCATCAATAGAGTGCTGCCACTGTGTGTACCATTACTCTGAGGGCGAGAATTTACCAGATGAATCGATGACCTCACTGTGACTTTTGTCGTTCAGCGTGGTGGTGGTGGGAGCTGGGTTCATGCGCCTTCTTGAGAGTGACCGCTCACTTCCCCCCCCCCCCCCCCCCCCCCCCCCCATTGTGCAATTGCGTGTTCACAGGTGTCGGAGAGGATGAAGGTGGTGGACACCATCACCACCAAGTCATACGAAGACGGGGAGCAAATCATCGCTCAAGCACGTGCAACGTTGCATTCGTTTAATCTTGCGTCTTACCAAACCTAATCCTGCATTCGCTCACAGTTCGTCAGCCGTAAAATGCATCCGTACAAACCATGAGCAGCAGACGCTGATACTTTATGACACGACTGTGGTCACCCAAAACAGAACCATGGCACATATATAACGACTTGGTGCCCGATTCACAGCGATGCATTCCTACGACTATTCCTGACACATTTATATGACGGCGGTGGAACGTTGTTGTGACGTAAGCGGCGTTGTGGGCCCGACGACCTTGAGCAAAACCAAGCTAATTAGAGTGACGATTTAATGTCTAACAATCGTGTCCTCTGTGCGTGCAGGGAGCCAAGGCTGACTGTTTCTTCATTGTCGAGGCTGGGGAAGTGAGGATCATGATGAAGAGCAAAGTAAGTCACAGGACCATGAACGTTCTTTTCGCTGTTGGCGCGGACTGCACTCCTCCGAGAGTCGTGCTGTGAATCGTGGCTCTGTGCTTCAAACACGCCGCAGAGACAAGAAGCTGCCCAGAGCTCTCTCAGGAAGCCCTTCTTGTTGCACCAAACAGACAATGGGAGTTTTGTTATTTTGCGCAGAGTTTTATATTGATTTGGCGTTGATTTATATTTGCGAGGCGTTTTTCAATTCATCATGTGATGCGTTTCTTTTGTTCCGACGTCTGTTCGATTTGTTGCTGCACTTGAATTGGTTCGCTTTTGCTCTTTCCTTTCCGGTGACCCAGGTCTCGCTTGCAAATGAGGCTTTTAGCCAGCTCTCTCGAGTTTGCACCCGGTTCAACAAAAATAAACTTGAAACCTGAATAGGGCTCCGGTTAACACAAAAGTCCTTTGATAAAATTGCGCATGTGATGCTGGGGTACAACCCCTGTGGTTACTGCGTGTTGCAGGACAACCCCCAAACCGTTTGTAGACGCGCTTAACGATACACCCGGATCATTTTTGTTGAACGAAAGTCACGAACGTTATTGCGCCCTGCGTTTCTCTCCCGTCCAACAACACCCGTTGACACAAGTTAACGATTTTGCCGATGACGGGGAACGGTTGAATGCATGCGACGGTGCCTTGAGAGGGGAAGCTCCGCCGTACACGGAGCCCGTCGATGAGTCGACGTGGTACAGTTGTCAACGAAAATACTGGACACGTTCGTCAATAACACAGCCGCCTTAAAATAAATAACAGGGAACGTTTTGAGCCATTGCCCTTCTTCATAGCACACAAAGAAAGAAGAGCCATGAACCTAAAACGTTGCCAATTATATATTTTTCCTTAAGGTCACAGTTTTTTTTTTGTGAATGCGAGGTTCTTAATTTGTTATTTGTGCTTGTGCACCACTGTCGATGCAGCCGCAACACCAGATAATTCTGCTGATCCCATCTGTAATCTAAGCAACTAGCTTTTGCCCGTCTAAGGACGGGTGTATTTCAGTAAATATGAAACTTGCAAGCGAAAAGCAGACCGCGACGTAATATTCATTGCATCAATTCGTGTGCAAATGTGTAAGGCCACGGTGACACAGACTTATTTCATTTGAAGGTTATAATCCCTTGTTCATAATGACGTCCTTTTTACTTCTATATCTCAATCGCGTTACGGAGATCGTGTGACGTGAGGGTTGTGCCTTTGTAGTGAGGCTTGTCAGTCGTTTGGAATTTTTACCCCCCCATGTGAAGTGATGTCACCCACTAATTCATATTAATGGGGGGGGGGTCCATTTGGAAGACGTCACCTCTTCACGATTATTAATGTGGGGGCTGTTTGATGAGGAGTGACGTCACCTGGACATGCGTATTAATGACGTCACGCGTGGGACACAGACGTGCTGTGCTCATTATGCTAGTAAATAACCACCGAAAACCGTTCGCTAGTCGAGCACCCCAAACTGCCTGAGCAGCGTACTGGACAAAGCAGCGTGCTTTGTGTGCCACCTGGTGGTGAACATTTGTATCTGCAACCGAAATGCTCATGTGCTTGAGATTTAGTATTTTCACAAAAACGTTTACTCTTATTCAGGATATATCTTTTTTTGCATGACCCTACAGTCCATGAGCCGCGAGATATTGTTTGATGAGCACCAACACCCTCCTCTACCCCATCCACTACCCCATCCCATACCCCCATCACCTACCCTCAACCCCTACCTTCATACCCTACCCCCATCCCCTACCCCCATCCCCTACCCCCATCCCCTACCCCCATCCCCTACCCCCATCCCCTACCCTCAATCCCTACCCTCATCCCCTACCCCCATCCTTTACCTCCATCCCCTACTCCCATCCCCTACCCTCAATCCCTACCCTCATCCCCTACCCCCATCCCCTACCCCCATCCCCTACTCCCATCCCCTACTCCCATCCCCTACCCTCAATCCCTACCCTCATCCCCTACCCCCATCCTCTACCCTCATTCCCTACTCCGATCCCCTTCCCCCCCCATCCCTTACATCCCTGGAGCGGCCAACATTGCCGCGTGGGAGAAAATGTTCTCATTGTTGCAGAGATTCGTGACTCGTGTACAACGGCTACCCCGGTTAAAACTGGGGGTGTATTAGCCGTAGAAGTACCTGCTGCCTGCTTCAAAGTCGACATTAAAGATCCTTTGACGTTGTTCGCAAGAGCAGGCAAATAATGTGTGCTGGCGTCATTGTACAAATTTTCCAATTACCCCACTTGGAATAACTGAATTGGAATCTACATAGCAGTCATCGTCCTCCTACTGTGAACACTTTCCAGAACCCTCTTGAAAAAGGGTCCTGGGTAAAAAAGCGTAATATAAAAAAATTAGAAACAGTCATCCCTCGGAGAACGTTTTTAATCCGTTCCACAAAAAGTATTGTTCACTGAAATAACTGTTCATTGAATTCACTTGAAAAATAAGTAAAAATCATTGAGTTTGCAAGAGAGCAGTTTGCACTGCTAAACAGGGAATATGATGTAAACAAAGCCTGTCGAGGTCTCAACGCTCATTAATTAGGCGTCGCTGAGGGCATGGTTCAGCCCCACTTATGAGAGCTCGAATTGGCTGAAATTGGCGCCTGCGTGCATAACGTAAACATAGCATTAGCCAAAATGTTAGCGTCAGTCGAAACCATGGGGTCCTATGGGAGGCAAAAAGTTAACCGTCAGAAACGTTAACCGATGTCACTGTTAACCGAGGGACTATTGCGAAACACAACCTCCGGCGGAAACGTGGAGTCATCGCCACCGTTATGAGACGACTTGAACGATGCTAAAACGGAGCGACGAAATGGGCTCGCTGGTTGAGTTATGACAGTGCGAGACGGTTAGCGGTGGTGGCAGCGTCTCAGGGAGGCCTCCATTCGGCAGCGAATGGCTCATTGCCGATGACGATGGCGACGATTGACGTGTGCTCGCTTCTCTGTCCGCCGCGTAGACCAAGGAGGGGGAGGTGGAGATCGCACGCTGCACAAGGGGCCAGTACTTCGGAGAGCTGTCCCTCGTCACCAACAAGCCCAGAGCGGCTTCAGCCTACGCTGTCGGAGACGTCAAGTGCGCAGGTGTTTGCCGTTCCGCCGCCTTGAGCTCGTGTGCGCCCCCGCGCGGCAGTAGTGAGCGTCGAGTAAGCTCGACACGTAGGTTCTCGCAGCCCAATGTCTGTGTATACATAGAGAAGGACTCCTCTACTTACGAACTTTCGACTTACGAGCTTTAATAGATACGAACAAACCTGTCCGTATCTCCAGTTGCCTGTTCGGACCGAAAGTCGTAAGTTCAACCGCCGCGCAATAGATGGCGCTGGTGACATCTACATCTGCAGAATGTTAATAACCAGTGGCATCTACATCTACAGGAGATTATACAACTTTTAAAACCATTCTCCGTGTTTAGTGTACATGCCGTACAACATATTTGGAATCGACAGGATCAAAGTTGGACTTACGAACAAATCGACTTATGAAGAGACATCTGGAACCCAACTCATTCGTAAGTAGAGGAGTCCCTGTATATATGCGACTGTTCATGATTGACTTTTGGTTTAGGCCACGCAGTTAGTTAATTATCCAGTGTGGCCAAACAAATCGAACTGTCATGCGTACAAGTGTTCCAAGCCGGTAGGTTTTATCGTTTCGGCTGACCGGTAAGTTAAAGAATGATTCTTGTGGGCAAATTCAGCAATTTTTTTTTTCTTGCGCTTATTGTTTGGACGAAAGTCGTCTCGGGCCAGGTTCCGCTACTGACACAATCGTCGGCAACGCAGAGGTGCACAGCCCATCCTGCACTTTATTCTGAAACATGTCCTTGTTTACGTGCCCGTTGCATGATAAATACAGTCATAGTAATTTAACATTTGGGGTGGAGACATTGCTGAGTGGTAGCGCGATTTCCGCTTGTTGTGGTTCAAGTTTCGCGGCCGTCCTGCTCGTGGGTTGGATCCCGACCCTGACGCCTGCTGTATGTTTGGAGTTTGCGGTGTCTCTCTCCACGTGATCGTGTAGATTTTTCCCGGGTCGTCCGGTTTTTCCCTCCACATATAGCAACATGTGTTTATAGTATTTGGCTGAATAACTTTTCTACGTGTTAAGCCGCTTCGTTGAACTATCACTTGCATCCAGGTCACTTATGAAAAAGAGCTATATATATATATAGCTCAGTGGGCCTTACCTGGTACAATAAAAATAGTTTATAGTTTTTAATAGTTTTAGAGACCCTTCCACCAGCAGTGGTGCAATCAAGATATCATGGGGGGGGGCTGCACCTTTGCCTCTTTACCTGAATCTGACCACCTCAATGCCCCCCCCCCCCACCTCATCACCCACTTTGTGATTCCCGCGCAGTCATGGGCGTGCAGCCCTTTGAGCGCCTGCTGGGGCCGTGCATGGACATCATGAAGCGTAACATCACGCACTACGAGGAGCAGCTGGTGGCGCTGTTCGGGACGAGCATGGACATATCGGAGAACTCCAGTCCCGCGCCTGTCTAGACGGGTTGCGGTCAGACATCCGTTCAGCTCGAGTCCTGCAATTCGCGACGGAAAAGTTATTTCGCCCGGCGGAGTGTTGTTTGTCACCGGCGAGCGATCAAAGCGCGACGGTGACGACCACAACTGTCCCCCCACCCCCGCCCACAAACACCAAAGCGCGACCGACTGTGACGGGATTCGCGAGCCCTAAACGCAGACGCACACCGAGAATGACTTGGCGGCGTTGTCCGGGACGGCGGTGCAACGCGCAAGGAACAGTTTTCTAATTGGCTGTATACGCATCGAAAAAAAATATTTACAGGGTTTTCTCTGATTGGCCAACCTGATAATATTGGGTGGGGGGTGGTGGGATATTGTGAGCTGCTCACACCAACTTCGAATAACTTGAGAGTGTCTGACTGTTGTCGCCTTGACTGAGAATGACTAAATGTGATCCACAGACTTAAGACGAATTCCACAGGTTAAGGTTAACAGGAAAGTATATAAATAAAATACAAAATCTGACATTTCCAAATTACCACTGGACTGGACGTGTCTGCCCATTGCAGCAAAACAAAAAATTCCCGACAGGGCAGCGAAAGAAAAAATAATGCCGCCTGTGTCCACTCCACGAGCCGCGATTGTTTCTGTTCGTAGCACGTGGCTGTTTGCACGTTTCGCTATCAGGGTCTGTTGTCTGTCCGTATACTCGTTCATTGGATAGCCGATATGTCAGTTTTTAGAATTAACTCATCTGTTTTTTTTTCTACCACGCCCTGTCGCTAAAAAGGTCGTCATTACGCTTGAGGTGTAGCGGAACGGAAACGTGTCGTCAGCTGGTTATGGAGGCTAGCACGCACCCATATGGAAGATGGTGACATCGATAATGCCGTTGGAATAGTTTCTCCCACACATTTATGGACGTTGCCGTGTGTCGTTCGGCATGGGCGTTCCACTTGGATAATAAGCGAGAAATTATAGCGAAAACAAACGTGTTTTATCTCAAATCTTCTGAACGTCTCCCAACCAAATAAATCGATTACCACTCTCCTCCATGAGACATGGAGCACGTTGCATTCACGTAATTCACCCTCGCCTCAAAAGGATGTCGTTTTTGGGGTGTTGAACTGTTTTGCCACCCTACAAACTGGGCGTGACCCGATCCGTACCCTCCGACATCACACAACGATTCGAGACGCCGTGTATGTGATGGTGGCAACACCATGCCCTAGCGGTCGGAGAGTAAGCGTGTGTCATTCGAAGCCATTAGGGGGGGGGGGTGGGAGCGGGGGTGTGAGTATCCATAAGTGGGTCGCCCCTAGTATCTCGAAAAGATTAAAGCGACCCCTGGTTCGCATATTGGAGGGGGTGGCACTTTCCCACCCGCTCGGCATTTGAATGCGATGGATTTTTTTTTTATTCCGTTGTCAGTGACCTGGCTGAAAACTGTAAATTCATGACACTTGAGAACCGGAATTAATCGCAGGAATCGAACCCAGAATCCCAGTGGTGCCAGCTCAGTGCTCTGACATCTGAACCACCCAATCTCCTTGCACACATTCAAATTGTTATTCGTCAGGGTAAGATTTTTGCATAACTGTCTTCGTGTTTTGCTCAATGATTTTCTTCATTGTTACATCACCAACGTCTTTAAAATCTTGTTCTTGGCCAGCACTGTTAGCATTGGGCTTTATTGTTTTTCACTAAATATCTTGCAATTTTTAAAACTGCCTCCACCCTCTGTCATCCTCCCTTGAACACTGGTCCGTAGACCTGACAGTCGTCTAAGTCTGTCTGTGCTGCGTGCTGTGCTCGTGTGTGTGTGCGTGCGGTCTGCGCTCACTAACAGCACTTGCCCCAAAATTATGTTATGGCTATATGGGGGATCTTTGCCTTCGTGGATGAGGATACCCCCCCCCCCCCCCCCGCTGGTTGGTGAAGGTGGAGAGCATTGAAATGGAGCACAACAGTAGGTTTAACGACTGCATTGGCCTCTGCTTGCCGAACAGCGTAACCTTTGTAACCCCGGCAGTTCAGCGACAGCTGTGTGGTGGTTGGGCCCTCTGCTGTTGGCAAATGTGGCTGTTGGTACGTTGTGGGGGTTGATGGATTTAGCCGGTCATGGGAAGAATCTGGCGTGACGGCAGCAACCGTCTTGGTTGCAGTTCGCAAAGGGCACGGGTAGACTTTTAATGGGGCGGTGGTGGTGGGGGCTGACACGAACACAAAACTACTCGCTCAATTAGAAGTGTGAATTGTAACGTTTGTGATCGATTCCAAACCTCGAGCCATTTGTCGATAACGCTGCCCTGAATAGGACACGATACACTGTGTAGTTGGTGGCGTTTAGAGCAACGGCACCGCTACATAAGCGAGACTGGCCCGTGCTAGAAACGTTGCCTTATTACTCTATTATAGGATTAACTTTTTTCCACCTGATTTAGAGAGGAAGAGTTGAGGGTGCATCTGGTGGTCCGTTCAGGGTGTGCGTGTGTGCACACGACTATATTTGTACAACTTGATTGTCTCAGGTTTGTGGTGCAACTTTTCGCAGCACCTTTATAATCCAGAGAAAACAAAGTTTTGGGTTGGTTACTCACCGCACAAATCTTTGCTGCCTGTAATCCAGCACGATGGAGGCAGCTGTGAGGGTTGGTGGATGGGCATCGGGGAGTGGACTGATCGCCATCTGTTGCCATCGGTACGGGGATATAGTATTGCCCCCTCGCGCGTGTTGGTTTTCTCCAGGTGCTCCGGTTTCCTCCCACTTGTATAAATGCTACATTGGCTGAAGACATCTTTTAAAATAAAATAAAAAGTAAAACCCACTGCAGGACCCTCCTGAAAAAGAGTTCATACGACTTAGCATGGCTTCCTGGATCACTAAGTAAAATTATTACGATATATTTTGTTTCTTGGTGGGGTTCAGTGTTGTCGATAAAAATGCGTTGAGTTTGTGTTCTCTGCGAGCCACTGCCAACAGTCTCGCAAAAAAAACTTGATTGTTTTTCTGCGTTCGTTTCTGCCCCCCCGCCACCGTTACCGGCCGTTGAACATAGCAGCTCGCAGTGTCCTTTCGCATGCCAAAGACGCCGTAACCCGATTGGTCGAGGCCCTTCTGGCGTGAGGATTTTTTTCCTTTTAATATACTAAAATGACACCTCGTCAAGCCATACTAAAATCGAAAGTTAATTGACTTAATGAATGCCGGCAACATGACACGCGGGTGGGGGTGGAAGCATTTGTTGCTGCTGCTGCTGCAGCACACAGTTTTAATGAGCACAACGTGGCCAGGTATATATAAAGTTAGTTTTTTGCCCCTCTGCTTGGTTATGACATTTAAATGGTGGGCATCTCGGCTTCATATTCCATTGCGAACTTTAATGGACAACTGCTGTACTTGAGCTAAATCCTCACGCGCGCGCCCGCACGGACCACCCCTTTCCAAACGCAATTGAATTTAAACGTTCACCGCGTGATCGGATTAGTCGATGTGCTCATCGTCCCTTGTCGCTTGTCAGCAAAACATGAATAATAAGCGTTTTAAGTCAGGGTATCGACGACTCTGGGTAGACGGGCGCAATGTTGTGACTTAACCCTGCGGCGTAACCTTGTTTAAAGGAGATGGGGGGGGGGGGTCCCATACAAAAACTCAGGGTGGGGGTGGGGCATGGCACACTCAACGTTTGACATGTTTAACGTGATCGTCGCGTTTTGTGGCCGGGCTGTGCCGCCACGGTTGCTCGGCGCGATGTCCAATGTTTCGCTACACTTGCTGTGAGCTTCTCAATTCTGGGACCTTCTAATTCGGTTCCTCAAGAAGTTCCCAGCAACGTGCGGGCAAGACGTCGGACATCAGGCATGAGCCGAAAGCGCTTTGAAAAGCTCCGTTCACGATTACGATTGCCACCACCATCATCACTGTCATCATGGTATCACGATCATCTTGTACCAACAGTTTTTGACTTCAAGAATTTGTTGACAGCGGCGAAGCCTTCAGCAGGAGGACTCGGGCCCCATCCAGCCCCCCTCAACGTTACGGCAGCCGCTGTCACGGTTTGCTAAACAAGCGGGTTTTGTGGGTGTCGCAAGGATAAGTAGAACTCTCGTATTGAAAGGATTGGACTTTGGCCGTGTCGCACCTTCTGCTTCACAACTGAGCCCTGCCCGGGCCGTACCAGGCCAGCCCGGCGCAGATCCGGGCGCGCCGGGGTTATTTTTCTACTGCGGAACGCAATCCGCGCCGCCGAAGCCACGTGCAACGGACAGGTCGACACACGTGTCAATGTCGCAGCTGGCCTCGCAGCGTGCCGGCTGCCGCGTCATGACGGATGCGTCAAATAGGCCCCCACCGCTGGCCGCCTCGTCCCAAGCCAGATGTCCGATGTTTTGTGAGGTCAGCGTAAGCACGGTTTGGTTCCGGCTCGACGAGCCAGTGTAAAAGCACCCGTACCGCGAAGGGCCATTGTGCTCGATTGGCTAGCTTGGCTCTGATGTGCCAGTGGAAAAAAAGGCTTATTATTGTTGTTTCCTAGGAGGTGAACGCAAAGTGTTTCTCAGTCCGTTGGTGATTTATGTTTTTATTTCTCGTGCAAGCGTCGTGGGTGATGCTTTGTTTTTTTTTCGCTTGCTGCAGTGTTTTTATCGGTTTGTGTTTTTAGAAGATGGTACGGACACTGCTACTGCCAACACCTGAAAAATGGCCCAGGGATTTTTTTCTACTGGGGTTCCTACTTCCAACCAGTGTGCATTTTGGTATTTTCTGACACTGAAATAAACAAATAAAAAGACATTGGGGGTTTTTTTCGCCGAATTTAAATGTGTGTTTTTTCTCTCATTTTCACGGCAAATATATTGTCCTGGTTGTCATTACAGTACTTAGATCATCGGTCTTATTACAGTTGTATGATCTGCAGGGAGGCAACGAAAGAATGGAACACGGGGTGCTTGCATGTTCCACACGGTGGTTTGCATGTTCCACACGATGGGTTGCATGTCATATTCAATAGAATCAAATCGCAGAAAAGCCATTATGCGGTCACCGTCAGTCGTGATCAATTGAGGACTTCCCCCCCAAGCCGATTTTGCCGCTCCATCTCCACGGTGAATGTCCTCTCTGACGCTTTTCCTCTCTTGGTCGCCATTCTATCTCACACTCTACGTTACTGTAAAAATATCAATACCCCCTGGCACCGGTACAGGTATCCCTCGATTTACAAACGTTCGATTTTTAGCACCTTTCGCGTTTGCACAATTGACATTTTGGACACTTTTCCATTCAACGAATTTCAATATGCCATGCGCCACGAGATCATCAAACACAAGCACCCACGAAGTTGCGTTGTCAACCATCCGCGGCAGCGTCATGGTGTCCCTGCACTGCCACAGTGACGCCTCCACATCACCGTCTCTGCAGTCAATCTAACACGCAACAGATCTTGGGCAAGTTTCCTGTAAAGGTATTTTTTGTTCATATTAAATTAATTATTATTCAATCGATTTAATGTTTATGTTCTATTCATATTTTTGTATTGTGCCAAGTTACGTAGGTGTTATACTTTTAGGTTAGAAGTAGAGTTGGAATGACTGTCCAAAACACATCCCAATTTCTTTAATTACGTTTATTCTAGAATTGAAGCTTTCGTGACTGCAAGGATTCAAACTCTTAGGTTTTTTCGGCAAGTCACGTAGGTAAAAAATAATAATAAATGAAAACAAATCAATTCAATCACGACGTTTTGGAGGCAACACAAGCTTCCTTTTACACCTGAAGAAGGAAGCTTGTGTTGCCTCCGAAACGGGATTTAATTGATTTATTTTCATTTATTATTGTTTTATTATTATTTTACCTACATGACTTTACCGAAAAAACCTAGAGTATTTAATTACATTTGTCGTGTCGTAGGTCTCTTCTCACTCGTCGACGCTGGTGTGTGTGCGGGTGGCGTGCAGCGCACACACTCAGTCGGAGACGAGGTAGTGTCAGGTGGCACCGTCCTTCCTTTATTACTTTTCACGCCACCAACTCCGGCCCACTCCCTCACGACCACGCTGCCATACGACCCGACCCAGACACGAACGACCCTGTCCGCGTTGCACCGACGGCGTCGAACGAGATAGGCAACTCCTGTCCTGCCGCGCAATGATCGGGCGAAGGCGGCAGTGATGAAGGCGGCAACGACGACGGTGACGACGGGACGAGTCCACTCCCAGAACCGACAGCCCGGAGCTCTCGCTCTCCGCTGCTTTTATTCCCCTCGGCGAGGCTTGGGTCCGCCGTAGCCGCGCCTCCCTTCTCGAACCCACCAGAGAGTTCCAGGGACCTCCCCACGAGGTCTACGTCCCCACAATCCCGTTACAACCGCGGCGTCCCCCGCGAATCAACAACACATCTCGCGGCCGCCCCCCCCCCGTGCCCCCCGATAACTAATCCAACAACCCAACGCGATTTCCCCGATCTTGCGAATCGGCAAACTTCCCCACAGCGCGGCACCCCCGTCCGCAAATTGGCAACTCACACAGAGCCCCCCATCCGCGAATTGGCGACACCTCACACAGCCTGGTGCCCCCTCGCAATCGCCACACCTTACACAGCACGGCGCCCCCCCCCCCCCCCCCGCAATTGACACACCACTTTATTTCCCCTAAACCCAGGCCCTTAGCCCCAACACCCCCTCTCCCTCGGATTCCTTCCCAGTGCAAGGGAGAGTCCCCCCCCCCATACCGGACACACCCCCATCTCAGCGTGGTCTTGCACCTCCGGAACCCTGAGGGCCAAGAGACGATGGAGGGCATGGCCCCTCACCGGTTGGCAGCACCCACTCGGATCTGATCCCCGAGACCTCACACTTGGCGGTCTCGGTAGGCCTCAGAGAGCCGGGTCTGGTGGGGCTTGAGTTGACTTTGCCGGTGGGCCAGAGGACGCGGGTGAGTCCGCTGGTGGTCAATTGTCATCCCGACACTCCCCAGCGATGTGACCCGACCGACCACACGTGAAGCCCCTGGGCGTGGGTCCCCACGGCAGAGGGAGTTGGCCCCGCCGTGGGTTTTACCGCTCGGATGTTCTTGCCTGTGTCCCCCGGCCCCCCCACCGCCGCCATTATATCTTCCATGTTCCATGCCGCGGCTTCCCACCTTGCCCACTGCTGCTTTTCCTCGAAGACCTGTATCTTCCGGGCCACTGTTGAGGATGAAATTTCTGTGCCGACGGCGGAGGGCAAGGCAACTCTCAGCTTTCTTGCCAGCTCCCGCAGCCTTTCCTCCACGCTAAGGTCGAGTGCCCCCTCACCCAAAAGTGGGTATGCCTCCCGTCCCAGCGCCAGCAGCGCTGCCCAGAAGGCGTAGGGCGTCTTGTCCTCCATCCGCTCCCTCTGGATGAATCTTGTGCGAGCCTCCGGTGCCAGTTCAGGAGCGGCTTCTTGCAGCTCCGTCACTCTTCGCACCTCCTCCGCGCGCTCTCGCGCTCGCCTCAAAATGGCAACCACTGGCCATGAGAGGTCCTCCGGAGACAAAATGGCGCCCACCATGTGCGCAGTTCCCCTTGCTCCCACTCCGACGGAAGCTCTCACTGGGTTTTCTCCACTCTCCTCTGCGCCGTCTCCCAGGGTATGCTCCTCGTGCCGGCCCGCGCCCCTCTCCACATGGCGGTCCTCCGCCATGCTGCTTGGTTGGCACATGACCACGGGAAAATCTCAGCCGCTCTGCCCGTCGACATGCAGCTCCCGCTCTCTCTCCTTGTCGATGCGCAGCCGCTCCCGCCGCCTTGCATAGATGCTCTCGCCATCGACGCTCAGCCGCTCTCTCTCAGTCGACGTACAGCCGGTCTCGCCATTGACGCACAGCCGTTCCCGCCATCTTGCGTAGCCGCCCTCGCCGTTGACGCTCAGCCGCTCCCATCACCTTGCATAGCCGCTCTCGCCATCAATGCTCAGCCGCCCTCCCAGCAGATGCGTAGCCCCTCTCCTGGGCGTTTTATGTAGCAGCTGTCCCGCTGATCTGCAGCGGCTCCTCTGCTGCCCAGCAGCCCATGGGCTTCGTAACCGGGATTCAGGGTCCCGGGGCTGTCGGAGGGATGACCGTATCGCCGTCCTCGTCCCGACGACACTACAGGTGGGTTTTTAATACCCCACTTCTGACACCAAATGTAGTGTCATAGGTCTCTTCTCCCTCATCGAGGCTGGTGTGTGTGCAGGTGGTGTGGGGCGAACACACTGAGACGAGGTAGTCGCAGGGGGCACCGTCCTTTATTACTTTTCATGCCACCAACTCCGGCCCCCTCTCTCTCATGACCATGCTGCCGTACGACCTGGCCCAGACACGACCCTGTCTGCGTTGCACCGACGAAGTCGTCCAAGACAGCCAACTCCTGTCCGGCCGCGCAATGATCGGGTGAAGGTGGTAGCGACGACGACAGCAACGACGAGACGAGTCCACTCCCAGGACCGGCAGCCCGGAGCTCTCGTTCTCCGCTGCTTTTTTTCCCCTCGGCGCGGCTTGGCTCCGCCCTCGCCGCGCCTCCCTTCTTGAACCCACCAGAGGGTTCCAGGGGCCTCCCCACGAGGTCTATCGTGACCCTTGCCCCAGTTCCTCCGCCCTAATGGCACACCCATGTCTCTGCTCAATGGCGTGTGCGCTAAGTGTCTAACTGCAGTTGCAGCTGCTGTACAGGAGTCTGCGCTGTGTCACTACACATTAATTGGTAAAGCCATTTCCGATTTACGCATGTTGTTGAAGAACGCATCCCTTGCGTAAATCGAGGAATACCTGTACTGTATATACTCAATAAAATAACTAAGTCGCGTTTTTGCCAATCCACTGCTGGGTAAAGGTATCTCATCTTGCTTGACCCCGTGACCCGCAGCCACATGAGGTCTCCCGCTTTGAAACGGCCTGCAAACAATCATACTGTCAAATTATATTTTATTTTACCAGGTAAGGCCCACTTAGCTATATAGCTCATTTTCAGAAGTGACCTGGCCACATGATAGCTCAACAAAGTGGGTTATCACGTGGACATTTATTGCAGCCAAATACTCGAAATGTATGTTGATTCTAAATGTGGAAGGAAAAACCGGAGGACTCGCGACCACGGGGAGACAGAATACGCAAACTCCAAATATACAGGAGTCAGGGTCGGGATGGGACTCACAAACTCTTTCTCGGGCGAGGTAGTTAACATTTCGCCACTGCAGTGGCGCGTTTATATATCACTGCAAGCATCTTAGTTGCTGAATATTTAGGTTCTGAAGTAGCTCCTGGCACGTGGAGCCAAACGTCGGACATCGTGCCAAACACTCAGTACAACCCGAACATAAATCGGAGAGCTGTGAAGCAGCAGCACAACTGCGCAAACCTCGGCAGTCATACAAGGTGGAGGAAATATACAATATTCTTAGGTTTTTTCGGTAAAGTCACGTAGGTAAAACATCAAAATTAATAAAAATAAAATAAAGATCACGACGTTTCGGAGGCAACACAAGTCTCCGTCATCAGGTGGGACCATCACAGCCAGATTAGCTGTATCAAGTGAGGCAATGATTCAAGATGTAATCCCTTAAAAGCGAGTTGGGGGGGAGGAGAGGGGGGGGGAGCTCATCAGAATGTGGTAGCCAATGAATGGAACGTATCGGGAGGGAGGGGGGCGGGGCCAAAAGGGTGCTCCCCTTCACAGGCAAGACCTCTTCGGCAGTACTCAACTCAACCCAATTAGTCTCTATGGTTAAGGACATGGTACTATCTCCTGATGACATCCTCGTCAGCTTTGATGTAGTATCTTTGTTTACCAAAGTCCCAGTACCGGACACCCTAACAATAATTGAGGACTTAGTCCAACATGGATTGAATTCTGATGTACCTGCGCTGGTTAGGCATTGCCTCACCAACACCTATTTTACCTGGAATGGCACCTTCTACAAACAGAATGAGGGTACCCCTATGGGCTCCCCCTTGTCACCAGTTATAGCCAACATGTTCATGGAAAAGTTTGAATCAGACGCCATCCAGACATCCACCCTGCGTCCTTCCTTTTGGAAGAGGTATGTGGATGACACTTTCGTCATCTGGCCACATGGCCTCCCAGCACTGAACCACTTCTTGGACCACATCAATTCTAGACACCCATCCATCAGATTCACCATGGAAGTGGAGAAAGACGGTAAACTACCATTCTTGGATATTCTGTTTCAGAGGAGGCCTGACGGATCCTTGGGACATTCTGTCTACAGGAAAGCCACCCACACAGATTCCTACTTGAAACCGGATTCCCACCACCACCCATCTCAAAAGAATTCTCTCATCAAAACGCTATACCACAGAGCCCATGGCATTTCTGACCAACACCACCTGACCGGTGAATTAAGACATGTACATCGGGCCCTCAGGATGAACGGATACTCTGACCGTACTATCCGCCAAGCTGTCTCTCCCACCACACAGAAACAGCCACATGAAACTCCGACCAAAACTATCACGTTACCATACATAGCAGGCGTGACCAAAAAGATCTCCAAAATTCTAAACAAACATAAGATCCAAGTCCGATTCAGTACAGTGCATAAAATCCGTGAAGGATGTCGTTCCTGACTTACAGTATCCTGGAGTCTACAAATTGAGTTGCATTTGTGGTGATTGCTACATTGGAGAAACGAAACGTCATGTTGCTGATCGTGTCCGCGAGCACAAGTCAGATCTGAAACACGGCAGAACTGATTCTTCGGCCGTTGCCGATCATTGCTACAACTCGGTGGGCTCTCATGAAATTGTCTTTTCCGAGACCAAGGTTCTCTGCAAACCTCCTGGCTACCATCAAAGGTTTGTACACGAAGCCATACAAATATACAAACACAGACATAATTTCAACCGTGATGATGGGTACAAACTTAGTAATCATTGGAAAGATGTTATTAACCACGCAAAAAAGACTTAATTACACTTTTTTGGACCATCTTATCTGACAGGCACTATTTTACTTTACTTTACCGAGTGTTTAACAGTAATCTCTTCATTGTTCAGCCAGCATTGGTATGAACAATGGCATTTCCGTTCTTTTGTATCATTGTATCAGGCCTCCCCCTCCCCCCCTCTCTGTCCAATGCGTTGGCGTGTGCAGCAGTTTGTCTCTTGCGCACAATCGCTTCCACGCCGTCGCCCACCCTTTTGGCCCCGCCCCCCTCCCTCCCGATACGTTCCATTCATTGGCTACCACATTCTGATGAGCTCCCCCCCCCCCTCTCCTCCCCCCCCCAACTCGCTTTTAAGGGATTACATCTTGAATCATTGCCTCACTTGATGCAGCTAATCTGGCTGTGACGGTCCCACCTGATGACGGAGACTTGTGTTGCCTCCGAAACGTCGTGATCTTTATTTTATTTTTTATTAATTTTGATGTTTTACCTACGTGACTTTACCGAAAAAACCTAAGAATATGAATCCTTGCAGTCACGAAAGTTTCAAATCTAGAAATATACAATCTCAATGTCCAATCTCATTATACAATATATAATCTCATACAATATACCATTACAATATTCAATCTCATTGGCTCGGTGACCTTACCCAGCGTTCACACAAAAGAAAGGTCACGCGTGGAATCTGTTAGTGTAATTTATTCTCGTAATACGGAGAAAAAAAAGGTTAATTAAAAAGTATAGTACATTCGAATACAGCACGTTAAAAATACTGCACATGTAACACGGCAAGTGGCAAGCATTACTGCACGCTACGTCAACTAATAATGCACTTAATTCTTTGTGCTTCTACTGCAGCTTGTTAAAACGATGGTTAAAACAAAAACCGTTACGTGAGACTACAACTCCCGACTCTCTGCAGGAATTAATTTGCTTTGATTTGTAGGAACGTCATCATTTCATGTATTTCTTGATTCTCTTCATTTGTTTACATCCAGAGAAGCCTCACTTGAGTCACGAGGGTCTTGCCACATTGTGACGTTTGACCAATCCCGTTAAGTAACGAGAGTTTGGCTTCACGTGCGAGGAACCCCGGAGAGGAAACCCACCGTGCAAAAATACTGGGAGGCACTCGAAGCTATGCACAGATGGCTTCACAAACGCTTGCTTTACCACTATCTCCCCGCCACCTCGTCGCAGCCGAGTGGATGTTGGGAGCTCTGTGTTCTGACGGGAGCCGTGTTTTTTTTAATTAATACATTTCTTCCCAGAATTGGCCCACAGTGGCCAGTCACGCACCATCACAGGGAACGGATCCAGAATAGATCGGCGTGTATATTTTAAAATCACATTTGCTGAGAACAGGCCCAAAAAAACTCCAGCAAAAAAACGGCACTTTGAGTTATTAAAATGGAAGAGTTAATACTTTTCTAGAACGGTTAAAGGTGATACGAACTCGCGATTGGAGATGATGGGAAGGTATTCCAGAGCGGAGCAGTGCGAGGGAAGTGTTGTGACCTGCAGTCTGGTCAGTGGGTGGGTGTGAAGGTGTTGTTTTGACCTGCAGTCTGATGGTTGGACCACAGTGTGGATGATACGAAGCAGTCAGTCTTATAGAACCGAGTCCTCAACGCAGGTGGAGGAATAAATGAGTGAAGTTCATGGGAACGGTCACCATGGTAGCGATGAACGAGGTATAAGGCGATTAATCCTTAAGAGTGAACTAGTAGCTAATTGGAATGTTTTGTTTACGTGACAAACCTATTTGGCTGGTGGTGGGTTTAATGACACATTTATATTTACGCGATCTAACCCAAAAAAAAACCCTCTGTTAATTTGGTGACTGACTGGCGGTGAGCGAGTGAATGGCACCACAGACCTCCGTCTGGTGCCGCTCGGTCACCACGAGATGGGCAGGCAGACGACGACGACAACAACACAGCGGCCAGGCAATTGAAATGGATTCCTATGCTCATGATACTTGCATATGCGAGGGTAAGAATTGATTACCAATTACGTGTAAACAGATCGAGTCTTGTCTGTGTTAGCGACCCAGAATAGATATTTTCACACCTGGCACGCCACATTCTCCATACTTGCTCTCATTTTGGTTGTGGTAACTGCTCCTCAGTCATGTAACTAGCTTGTCACGTGCCGCACGTGTACCGCAGGCTATCAGCGACGCGGACAATATTTAAGAAATTAGTCGACATGCTAAAGTTACGTATTTAGGCGAATGGATTGAACAAGAATACAGAACGAACGATACGAACAAACAATATATAGTAATGATCAAAAAACTAGGCGGCAAAAGCGATAAAAAAAATCGGGTTCTTGAAACAAACCTCTGGCACTGCAGCTCCCAAAGATAAACGTGCTATTGGCCCACGGCGTTGGCGTGTGGTTGGAACCGCTGGGCCGACCTTGGCTCACGACGTTCCGCGGTTGCCCGATATACTCGAGTGCGCCACTCAAAGTTTGTTCCCGTCAAGGTCACGGCCTCCTGGTTTCATCCATTCGCCCATTAAAACTGAAGCCATCGTGAGTTTGGAGAGAACATCTCAGGCATTCACTGGGCACGTACCAAGAATTAAATGAATTGATAAAATGTTTTTTTTATATTTTAAGTGCCAATATCGCACCTCCCCCCCCCCTCAATAAAGTAGGCATCAGTGCACATTACAACAGAAGTGGGACAGTGGAGGAGTATAGAACAAGAAGAATGAGACGTGCATCACAGTCGATGCACAGAGTATAGAGCAGTGGTTTTCAACCTTGGTTGGCTACTGTGCTACCCCCCTCGTTGAATTTTGTTTCAACCGAGTACCTCCATTGCCTGACCCACTGTGGTTCTGAGAAATAAATGTATGAATAATAAACATCAATATTTTGACCAAATGTCCATTTTGTGAGGTATCCCTAACAACCTGGTAACGGACGTTCTGCACGCATGACGTAATTTGATCGTGCTCGCTGGTTACTCTCGTAAAGCAACATTACGATCAATGAGTTTACAAAGGTCTTTTATATCGTTCTAGGTTACCATACGGTTACATTTTATCGCAGTTATTTATATTGACAGATTCATACAACGTGATTATTCACCAGTGACCCTCACGTATGGTATAATTTTGCACGTTTATAAATCACCTCACGTAACCCCCTGGGAAATTGCCACGTGTACCCCTAGGGGTCTGTGTACCCCCCGAGGCTGAGAACCGCTGGGGTCGAGGCACAGCCGCAGGCAGAGAAGACGAGGAGGGGAACCTGAGCAGCCGCTGAATGTGAACAGCGCAGAGTGAGATTCTCAGCGGTTGACTTTCACATCAGAAGCAACAAACTCGAGAGGAGAGACCAATCCGAGGGAACGCAAACGCCACTTCGACCACACACGCACGCTGAGTGTGTGCCATGTTCGTGCTACAGCCTGTCGCTACCACGTAAGAGCCGGGTGTCGTTTGGGCAATATTTTAAGCATCATGACTCATATGGGTTTTTTTTCAACTGACGTACAATTAGACAGCAAAAGCACGGCTAAATCACAATTACATTGTGATTAAAAATCCATTACATATATTTACGGGTGTGTGTGTGTGTGTACATCGGTCTGTCAAAAATAGTACCGATTTAAAAATCATCAATCTCTTGTTTAAAAAATATTTTTGTCTTACTTTATGGAATAATGCGACATATGATCAGCACCATTTTCGTTTAAACAATCCATATTTGAGTGTAAGCTGCTTTAAAAAAAAACGAAATAGCGCTACGTTGTAGGCATTTTGTAAAAGTGTGCTTGTCAAAGGTAAAACTGAAACGTAAGTATAACCAGAATTCTCCGGATTATAAGACGCTCCGGAAAGTAAGACGCACCCCCGAATGCATGCCCGGTGCCAGTAAAAAGGCGTACGACTCTGGTCACACAGAGATCCCCCGTGTAGCCTTCAACAGATTGCTGGGGCATGTGCTGTTCTCGAGTAGCAGCAGCACCTATGAAGGGCGGCACTGTGGCACACGAGGAAGTGGTGTGGCGAATACACCACGCCCGGCCGGCTTTATCTCCCCAGTGCTGATGTTTACACACCGCACCAGGTACTCGTTTAAGGCTGAGTCGTCCTAGGGGATGCCCAGGATTGGTTTAAATATTCACCACTGTTATTGGTAGTGAGTTGGGAATCGAACTCGGGTCACCAGGTTCGTAGAGCAGCACATGGGGAGTGCACTGGTCACACAAGACCAAATCCCCCTGATATCCCTAATAGACCTTTTGGGGCAAGTGCTGGTAGCGAATAGCACCTATTGGGTGGCTAGCACCATATCCGGCCACCTTTGTCTACCAAGTGCTGATGCTTACACGCAGCACCAGGTACTTATTTAAGGCCGAATCGACCTCGGGGAGGCCCAGGACCAGTTAAAATAGTCACCACTGTTAATGGGTGTGAGCGGCAATCGAAATCGGGACGCTGGGTCCATAGCGCAGTGCGGTGACCACTGCGCCACCGCTCACGGGGAGCGGTGCCACTGTGGTTAGCATGTGGAGAGTGCACTTGCCACGCACGCTCGTACACACACACACTCGCACACTCGCACACACACACCTGCCGGATTACAAGACGCAACAAAAGGTGCATCTTATAATCCAAAAAAAACGGTAATAGGCGTTTTCTATTCAAGTTAAGACCACGATCGTTACACCAGTAGATGATTACACGCGTTGTGAACGCCACTATTAAAGGAAAACGCTACGCACGAATGCCATTATCGTAAACGACATAATGTTTACCTACAATACGAGTCTAGTAAAAAACAACTCATTTGACAGTACAGTTCTAAAATACATAACAAGAGCTGTTCTGCTTGCTATTGAAGTGATATGCAGATTCAAAACGTTTAAAAACTGTAGGAAACTACTGCCTACAATAAATGGTAAGTTTACGGGTCTCTATGGTGGTCTATGTGTCTCCATGTAATTATATGTAGGTGTTTGAGTCTCTAAGTCTGTGGATCTCTTTATAAGTCTATGTAAGTATTTGGGTCTCTATGGAAGTCTATGGATCTCTGTATAACTCTATGAAAGTGTTTGGGTCTCTATGCAAGTCTATGGATCTCTGTATAAGTCTACTTAAGTGTTTCGGTCTCTATGTAAGTCTATGGATCTCTGTATAACTCTATGAAAGTGTTTGGGTCTCTATGTAAGTCTATGGATCTCTATGCAAGGGTAGTAGTAGTGGATGTAACTGGAGAAGGGCCATGTAATACAAGCACGTGGAGAAAGCTAATCCGAGCAGCTGACCCCAACAGTAATGTGCCATGAAAAGGGCCATAGCCTGAAACGTCACCTGTTATATATATATATATATATTTTAAGGCAATGTTGTTGACGAACCAGCAGTAAGTGGGACGTTTTGGCTGAGAAGGAGGACCGTGGTGATGGTTTCAGAGTGATCTTCTGCTTCAGTGAGCAACGAGGCATTGGTGCTCATTTCATCGTGTTTACAGCTCTGCGAAGCGAGCGGTGGAAATTCCACATTCCTATGGAGGGGGTCAGTCCCTCCACAGGACAACCGTTGTTAACTTCCCCAGAGTGGTGCTCACTTTTATCTTCGGGCTGCGAGCCGCTCGGACTGCCACTGAGCCACCCACCCTGTGGCTGTGATTATAATCGGGGCTTTCCGATGATTTGAGTCACTCGATTCTGCAAACAATTATCGAGCAATCGATGAACAGCCATCGCACTCGTGTGACAGATGGAGACGGCTTGGGGAGGCCTTCAACCAGCAGTGGACTGATCATAGATGATGATGGTGACGATGACTAACGACCCACGTGGCCTCTGAACTGCACAAAAACCACGTGCCGCCGTTTTTGTCAATCCACTGCTGGATGAGGGCCTCCCCCACGCCATGAACGGTCGTGGGCTGTTCTTTTTACCGTACCTCACCACTCCGGTCAAGCACAGCTTGGCAAAGGTGGGTTGCACGTAACCGTGAGAAGCTTAGTTACATGCGCAGAGACCTTTTTTTCCCCTCCGATCCACTGGTGGATGAGGGCAGATGTACATAAAAAAAACTCCGCCAAAACGACGAAGGTGGAGCGACAGAGGGCGGCCCCACAGACACGGCTCACAGGAGGACGATGACGTCATCGTCCTCCTCACCCTCCTCCTTCTTGGCGCCGTCCTTGGGGGGCGCCGGCTGGTATAGGGGCTGCACGTCAGCGATGGGGCGAGCATTCTGGTCCATCCAGGCGAGGAGCTGCGGCGCGCAGTGCTGCGCTATCGACAGCAGCGCCATCGTGTCGGTCTCTGCGTTGTGCAAGCCCACCGGCGGCTCATGGCCAAAGAACTGCACGTAGATGTCTCCCAGACGGAATTTGTTCTTTTTGCCGAACGCCACCTGCGGTGACGGTGGTGGTGGTGGGGAGCAGAGAGAGAGGGAGGGAGAGACAACACGGGGTAGATATGTTTAAACGGCCGGCACGTTGTAATGCAAGGGACTCACGTGCGTTCCCGTGTATGTGCGCCTTCACGTGTGGTGGCAGCGGTGGGAAGTTCTGACGTATGGGAACTCGCGTGACCCCGTGAAGTGAGAGTGGCCCGGAATGTTCGGGGCCCTAGCCTGATGAGATGAATATCGGGGTCCGACTTGAGTTGACCAATGGGTACAGAAATGTGATAGCAGGAATCTCGGAGCCGGAAATGCGGAGCTGGAAATCCGGAACTGGAAAGTCGGGAGCCGGTAACGCGAAGCTGGAGACGTGAAAATGGCGCCAGACCCGCGGCCGCACCGGCTCAGACCTGCTACCACGCCGGCTCACCTTCCTGTGCGAGTTGGGGTCCTCGTAGCCGTAGTCGTTCGCGTAGCCCCGGCCACGACCCCGGCCGCGACCCCGGGCCAGGAGCTTGCGCTTGCGGCTGTGCTCGCCGGGGGGCGGCTGCGCCAACTCGGGGGTCGGCCACGGGGAGTTGTGAGCCATGATCTGGCGCATGGCGGGCAGCGTGTCGGCGCACAGCGTGCCGGGCGGCAGCGTCTCCCCCACGCTCGACAGCTCATCCTAGCACACAATGGCGTGGAGTAATGGTTACGGCGTTAGTGACGGCGTTTGTGTCGGTTGTGATGACCGTGGTAACTTTGGTGATAGTGTTGATGGTGGTGATGGTGACAGTGCTGGTGACGGTGTCGTTGTTGGCCATGGTGACGGTGCTGGTGATGGTGCTGGTATCGGTGTTGGTGACCGTTATGGTGACGGTGTCGATGTTGGTGACAATGACGGTGTCAATATTGGCGATGGTGACGGTGTTGGTAATGGTGTCGATGTTGGCGATGTTGACGGTGTCGGTGTTGGTGCTGGTGTCGATCTTGGTGATGGTGACAGTGCTGGTGACGGAATTAGTGACCGGCCGGTGGCAGCCGCACCTTGAGCAGCGGGAAGTCAAACTGGATGCCGTTGTGTGCCACAAGGCACACGGGCGGCGCCTGCCGGGCCAGGAAGTCGAGGACGAGCCGTGCCGCGCGAGCGTCGAACGGGCGCCGCCGGTTCTGCGCCAGGATGTCGTTGGTCAGCCCGGTGAGTCTCCCGGCTTCTGCGTCAACCACCTTGTTGGGCTCCATGCAAAACTGCCGGGGCAAAAACGCAATTTTCCGAACGCCTGCCGGAATCGCGTCACGCGTCCAGAAAACCACGTGAGAGTCACGAGAGGCACGGCCGTGGAACCCCCCCCCCCCACGCGGTGGCGTTTGTGGTTCCTGAAGAAGCTCCTAGCATGTGCTGGAGCGAAACTTCGGACGTCGAATAACGTGTAGCGGTACGAGCACCGTACGCACGTACAATCATGTAAGTGATCTGGGCAAAAATGTTTCCGACGCAAGGCCCGATGCTGCCAGACACGCGGCCAAACGAGTTCGGTCGGGAGCCACGGGTGTTGGTGCCGATGACTACGGTGGTGACGGCGCTGGTGATGACACCGACACCGTGTCGCCAGGCTGTTGTGATTTCAGCTCGCTTAGGGGGGGGGCGCGGGTGAAGGTGGAAGTTGCCTCACTGTGAGCTTGTCGTGGACGCGAGGAGGCAGCGGCACGCCCTCGTCGGTCCTCGTCGCGACGCTCAGGCCGCGGCGGTCCACGGCGATGAAGCAGAGCTCGGTGGCGCGGGGCCGGCTCTCGGGCAACCCCGTCGTCTCAGCATCCACGAACACCAGGGTCTGAGCCGGCTCCGGCGGCGGTAGCTCCGCCGGGGCCGGCCTGGGAGGGCCGCCGCTGCTTCCTCCCTCCTCCTCCCCCCTCGCCACTTCCGCCGCCGCCGCTGGTGGGGGTTGTTGTTGGGGCTCCAGCTTGGCGCCGAGCGGCGGCCCCGCAGAGAAGGAGGCGTTCGTGTCGGCCATTGCTCTCGCGGTCCCCCACCGCCGCTAGGTTGACGCGGCGCGGCGCTGGAGTACCAATCGCTCGACTGTTCCGTGCGATCCACTTGCTACTAATTACTCAGTATTATTTGAGCAATGTCCCTATTCGGTCTTCACTCCTGTAGCGCTAGTAGCTGTGGACGAGCATCCGCGTTGGACTCTGCTTACTGGGTGAAAATCACTCGTCACTCGCGACTCGATCGTTCTTGTTCAACGCTAATCACTGAACACAGAATCGCTGAGTACTGTGATTCTCCTTGTGCAATACTCTTTACTGGGTACGAATCATTCGACAGCAGCGTTAAACTAATGCCCCGATTTCTCAATTGGCGATCACTGATAGCTCGGGTAACTATCGCAAGGGTCGTGTTGTTGGACACGTTTGGGGTTAGGCGAGGACACGGAGACGCACTCCAAATTAATTAAATAAAGGAGGTGGGGAAACGTGGCCGAGAAGGGGATTAGCAGAGGACTGGATGCGATATATTTGGCGGGAAAGAAGGAATTAATAAGATCTGTGGGGGGCAGAGGGTATATAAAGGGGGTGTGATGATGGGTGTACCACGTGGCTCTTTGGCTCCCTACGGGTGCTTGTGATAGACCCCCTCTCACTCTGAACTAATCTTCCTATTCAACGGTACTATTCCCTTGGCACCAATCGGTTCCTCTTGCCTCTGAGCTGTCAATGATTGCAGGTGGCAGCAGCGATGAGAGCAGGAGAGGGTTTGGGGGTGACCTGCCAGACGCTTGGCGTCTTCAGGGTCACAGACAACAACGGAAACAGCAAAAGGTGAACAACAACAACAAGCGAAAACTGTGAACACGACAAAGCCGTTGTCATGATAACGTTCAATGGTTGTTGATTTGTCTTGCCCAAAAACTGGAATTGTACGCGAATAAAAGTTACAACCAACTACCCACAACAACAAAAACCCTCGTGGCCACAACAATACATACAATTTAAGTTATACGTTTTGATTTAAAACTTTTTATTATTATTATTATTTTTCGATCTACGTGACTTTACCGAAAGAACCACCTGCGCACGACCTTCTCTAGGAGTGTTGTAATTACAGCAGCGTTGGGTTTGAAAACGAGCAAAACTGGGCAGATTTCGTCCACAAGCAGTGCCTCATCAGCAGCATTGGGCTCACTGGAAACCAAAGCTGGTGAACTGCCCAGATGGTTTAAGGGCAAGGAGCCCTCTGTTAGACGCGGGTTCGAGTTTGACGCGAAACTAATACACGGCGCAAAAATAAGCACGGCGGAGAACAAATCACTGACCCCGATGGATGCATTTAAGCAAACGTGGCCCAGAAGCAACCGGTAATTTGACACCAAAAAAAATACAAAGAGCTTTACATCATAGATTCAAAATAATGGCGTTAAATACCAACAACACCTGGCAGAGCAGTGGTTAGCGCACTGTGTCATGAACCCTACGACCTGAATCGATTTCGGGGCCACGGCTAACATTAGTGGCGAGCAATACATTATTTTTGGTTACCAGGTAAGGCCCCACTAAGCTACACAGCTCTTTTTCAGAAGCGACCTGATCACAAATGATCGCTCAGGGGAGAGAGAGACATGCAAACTACAAATATACAGCAGGAATATATTTGGGCACGACCTACCAATAAAACATTGACTGGCGCTCCTATTTACGCATGCAGTCCTGCCGGGCGGACAGAAGCAGAAGGGAGGCTGTGTAAGTAAAACAAAAACCGGTGCCCAACTGGTGCCCAACCGGTCACTTCGAACGCACGCACGCAATGCGTAACCCGCGGGGACGCTGCGTGCATGGGTGACCGTCGTGAAGAACAACAAAGCTGCTGCTGCAGCTGCAGGCTTCCTGCCGCTGGCAGCAGAACGGCAGCGCGCAGCCACGAATGTTGTACCGTACCGAGCTCCTGCGTCCTATGCTCCCCCGATGTTACCAAGCCTGGCACTGACGAATCAGCCGTGGTGAAGTATGCTCGGGTAACCCACGGCGTTGGAAGCCACCATCCAGCAGTGGATTGACATGTCGACATACATAGACGCGACACATACAGCTCGCCGGCAGGCAGCACGCCGTTCTACGTGCAATGCGTCTACGCACACGCAACAACAATAATTATAATCATTGATACCAGCCATTCTCTATCCTCCGCGGAGAAAAGCGCTACCCGCTCCCGCCACCGCGCTGACACGACATGCGTGCGTCTCACGCATGTCGTGTGAGCGTTCATGGGGAGCGGTGGCGCAGCGGTCAGCGCGCTGCGCGATGAAGCCGGCGACCCGAGTTCCGCATCCCGTTCACGGCCAATCTACAGCAGTGACGATGATCTCAACCAGTTCCTGGAACAACCCCGCCCCAAGGTCGACTCAGCCACAAACGAGCACCTGCTGTGTAAACATCGCACGCCGGGGAGACAAAGGCGGCTGGCGCGGTGGGATGCTGGACACACCGACACCACCACCACCAACAACAACCACCGTGGTGTTTGCATTCCGGCCTTCGTAGATCGCCCCTCGCTCACAGACGCGCTCTGTGAAGCCTGCACGGGGGCTGCCAGCGGGCAAGGAACCTTCGGCTCTTCGTGGTTTATGCAAAGACAAAGATCGCCAGCGCGTGACGTCACGTGCAATTGAACTTCACTCGCCGCGGGCGCACGCAGCAGCGAGACGAACACAAAGACAAAGATCCCCCGTGTGGCCTGTAACAGCCTGGTGGGGCAAGTGCTGTTGGCGAGCGCCTACGAAGGCCAACACGGCGCACGAGGGGGAAGGTAGCCAGCACCACGCCCGGCCGCCTTTGTCTCCCCCAGTGGCGATGTTTATCACACCGCATCAGCTACCTCGTTCGAGGCCGAGTCGGGGAGGGGAGGCCCAGGACCGGTGCAGATCATTGTCACTGGGTGTTGGTGGCCGTGAGCGGGAATCGAACTCGGGTGGCCGGGTTCGTAGCGCAAGCCGCTGCACTAACACACACACACACGCACTCACCACGTCTCGCTCTCCACGACGACGATGATGATAGATACCGATCTCTGGCTCTCTCCGCCCCCGCTAATTGCACCGAGGCGCGTGGTGCTGATCCGGACAGCGATGCCGCCCTCCGTTGTTTGTTTGCTTGTTGTTGATGATGGCTCGGTGGCTGATGATGCGCGTCGGAGGATGGCTGATGCTTGCAGTCAGCCTACAGGCATTCTAATCGGCATCCGCACCATCAGTAATCTTTAAACGCAGGGCCCCCTTACGTCAATGCATGGTTGGTGCCTCTCACTGCACTGTATGGGCAGCAAGCCCCGCCTGTACGTTACGCGGCCGTGACGTGGTTGGTTGTGGTGGTGGGTTGCTGGTGGTTGACAGGAAAGGGATTTGCCCCCCCCACTCCTCCCCTCTCAGCCCGCCCGCCCCCCGGAAAAAAAATCTCGAATTCTTTCGCAATGAGTCGATGGTCTCGGCGGCGCTAGCGGAGGCCTGCCGAAGGCACCGTAGGGTCATCACCAACAACAACGTCATCAACACCGTCATCAACGTCATCATCATCAGCACAATCATCAACGTCCTCATCAACACCATCATCAACAAATATCAACACCATCATCAACATCCTCATCAACACCATCATCAGAAACGTCAGCCAGCCATGGTCAATCCACTGCTGGATGAAGGCCACCAACCCGCTCCCCTCACCACCACCACATATCTCGAGTCCGCGATGTAGCAACAGCAATCCGCCCGCGCAATAACCGGCGGCACTCACGACATTTGACCGCTCCATCTCCTCTCCTGTTCCTCGTCGGCCGCTCCGTCGCTGTCCTTGACGCGTCCTGCCCCAAGCTATAATTCTCAGAGCGAAACCTGATCCACGTATTTCCACTTTCTGTCTCCTCCCAACGTTATTTATCGGCACGCGTCTCCTCCCGCAATGCTTCTTCTGCACACTTTTCAGGTTTCGTGACAAATGGGTTTGTGGTTAATGAATGACGTCATTGTTTTAATTTTGTTTTAACCAGGTGAGAACGCACGACAGCAGGGTCGAGCCGTATTTGCAGGAGTGACCCGGGTCACGGAAATATCGAAAGCAAAACAAACATCGGAACAAAGAACAACAACAAATAGATCACATGACGAATTGAAAACCAAGTTTTTGCGATCCTCTATATGCTCAGATGTTATCGGCCAATTCATAATTATTTATATGCGGGAGGAAACCGGATAAAACCCACGCATGCGAGGGGGAAAGACTGTATCCCGTACTGATGGAATAAGTGAAGGCCACTTTTTGTTGTTGCAGTACTGTCTTCTCTTGGCGAGCCAGGCAGGGTAGGACTCCTCCTCGACGTCCACCTTGAAGGGAGGTTCACAACAACATCTGTGTGTGTACGCGTGCGTGATCCACCAACCCTAGCCGCTGCCTTCACAGTGCTGGATTACAGGCAGCCATGTGCAGCAGCAGTACTTATCTTCCCACACCCATCTGGATAATAACCCCTGCCATAAATAATCGCTCTATCATCAATAATCATCCATGGTCAATCCACTGCTGGACGACGGCCTTACTGATCCATCGCCAAATCCTCGGGTCTCGCGGTGCGCGACGATCCATCGACAGAGCTGAACTCATCTCTCTGCATCTCCACTGTTGGACGCCATCTCGGGCGTATTCCCTCACGGCTGTCAGGGTGATGATGGATGATGTCTCTCGAACCGCGTGTGCCTGGACAAACATCGTCACAGCAGCCAGGGCCGTGCATAGTGGGGATGGGGGGTGCGGGGCACTGAGCAACTCACACCGCGTCGAAGCGCGCCCCCCACTCCGCAAAGTGCGGGGCCCCGGGCGGTCGTCCCGATTCATCGTACCCCGGGGACGGCTCACGTGTCCCTCCCAAACCAGCAGGTCGAGTGAGCTGGGAGTTGTCCTACAATCACTCGTAAACAAATGACGATGCTTGAGCTCACTTTAATTATGGGGTTTCAATTATCCTGAGATGTCACAGACCGCAAGCCCGAGAGTTGATTTGACTAGCGTTGATGGTGGTTGAGTGGATGAATGTGTGAGTGAGTGAGCGGGCGAGTGGGTAATTGTATGAGTGATTAGGTTAGTCGGTGGGTGTGAGTGAATATATGAGTGTGTGAGTGAGTGGCTGAGTGAGTGTATATGGGTGGGTGAGTGAATCAGTCGAAACTGTACTGGAAAGTTTGCATAGACATTTGTTTTGTAGGGCATGTTTGTTCATGTGTGTGGTTTTGTTTTCAGCAGTTATGTTAATGTAATGTATTATGAGCCATGCGTGTTAAATGCAGGGCTGTGTAGCTGTCATCATAATCGTGATAATGTTCTCTTAATTAGTGTAATGGTCAGCACATGTGTAGAGTCGTAGTTAGTGACGTCATGTCACGCTCGCCTCTGGCTGAGTGACATCACAGGACGTGACGTCAGGCGGACCTTCCGGTACGATGACGTCATGTCCCCCTGGGATATATAGGCTGGAACCCGTCACCAGACTAGGGCGGCTACTTTACCCGGCTGGCCGAGTTGGCTGATCCCTCGGTCAGTGCAGAGGTGTAGAGCCCGAATAGCCTGGGTGGGTGTAGGGAATTCCCAGTACCCTTTCCCTTGGGGAGAATTATATTAACCATCAATGGTTAGGCGTAAGCCCTTAATAAACAGTTGGCGAGAGCCCCTAAGAAGATCTGCCTTCGTGTCGTGCTTCACATCTCAACAACTGGTGTCGGAAGTGGCTTCCACGCTCGCAGCCATGTCCAAATCCGGCGCGAGACGGAAGATCACGCCTGGGGTGCAGGCCGGCCAAGAGGACGGCAGTTCCGGCGACCTGACGAAAAACTCGGAGATCGGGGCCCCAGAGACGTGCCCCACGGAGGTGGCTCGGTTGGAGCCGGAGGAGGCGGAGGCCGGAGGAGCTGTTCTGCCACCATCTGATGTGTGGTGCGACATTGCGGCCAAGCTGGAGCTGCTCCAGCTTACGATGGCGCAGCTCACCGTCGCGGTGGCCGAGGTGGGAGTGCGCATACACACGGCGGGCGATGATGGTGGAAGACATCGCGAATTTGACGACGACGCGTCTCCCACCAAGTTTGAACTTGGCACCATTTTGCCACGACGCCGCCGGCGGGCACCATTTTTCATGCGACGCCGGAACCGGGCACCATTGATAACGCAATGCCAGAAGTCGCCGCCATGACACCTGTTATGGCCGCGCCCATGGGCGCGGCCGCTCCGCATGTCGCCGCCGATGCGAACGCGGGTCCACCGCGAGCCGCGGTGGCGAGGCTTGCCGAGGCCGCGGATGCGGATCGCGCAGGGACGTCCCCACGGGCGGCCGGGGCTGCCGGGGCTCCGCGTCCCAGCGTGGCGGCCGCAGCCGTAGACGCGCCGACGGGCACCGAGGTGTGTGAGTCTGGGCCGGGGGATAGGTCGGCTCATCTGCGGCTGCGCCGGTTGCCCCCTGTCGCGCCGTTCATCGCGAAGGGGGGCGATTGGTTCGACTTCCAGGCCCGCTTTTATGTGGCCTATCAGTCGGTGCGCTGGCCTGAGGAGGAGGCGCTGCGTGTGCTGCCAACGTGCCTGGATGCAAGGGCACTGCAGACGTATTTGACCATCCCACCGGCGGACAAGGCGATGCTGCGTACCCCAAACTGGAGGGGAAAGCGCTGGACTCCTTGGCCCTTGAGAGGCTGTTGATCCTCTCGGGGGAGCTGGGCATCGCGCTGTCCATCTCCGAGGAGTCCAAGATGACATCATTGGCCGTCGCGCAGAATATTCAAGCGCATCTGGTGCTGCGGCGGCCACCGGCGATGGCAGCGTGCGCTGGGGCTGGGGCTCCGGCGCCTGCAGTGGTGGCGGAGCCTCGGGAGGAGGACGCCCTCGCAGCCGTGGCGACCTACGACCGACGTGGGGAAGGGTGGCGCTGCTCGCCGGCCAGAGAGGCCGTGGCGAGCAGGCCCTCCTCGTTCGCAGGTCAGGGGGCAGGTCACCTGCTTCCATTGTGGCCTGCAGGGCCACTTCGAGCGGGGTTGCAACAACGCCCCCGGGGCCTTCGTCAAGGCCTCCCCACCTGCGAGCAGCTCTTCGGCGGCGGGACCTTCGGGGCCACAGGTAAGTCACGACGCATCCATTGCACGGCCGCTCCCTTCACCTCATGCATCTAGCGGGGTTAGGGTCCATCCTCAAGGGCCCATCTCTGTGGGGTCCGACTCGTGCCCCGGGAGGTTGCGCCGGTCTGTTGGGTGGCCCAGATGGACTCGCCAGTGGTGAACCCTCGCGCATCGCATGGTGGCCACTGCTGCGAGGTCCTCGGCCGTTGTGGAGCACGTGCAGGGTGTCGAGGTGTGGATCCTGGTGGACACGGGTGCGTCTGCCACCATGGTTTCCGAGGGTGTTTTTCGGTTGCTGCCGCGCAGCATGGGGCCGTTGCGGCCGGTTCGTGGGGCTTGCGTGGCCGCCAATGGGAGCAGCCTCGGCATCTTGGGCCACGTTGTCGCGTCCGTGGTGATCGGAGAAATTGAATTAAGGGAGCCCATTTTGGTCTCCAAGGCCTTGGCCATACCGTGCCTCTTGGGCACTGATTTTTTGGCTAGAATGCCCGTGCGCATCTTGGTCGGGGGGACGGCTACATTTCTTAAAATCTCCCTCTGTGTTGGGCCCCCTGGCCGCTAGTGTTTGGGCTTTGACCACAGAGTCTGTGACGGTCCCTCCTGGGTCGCAGATCCTGCTTCCCCTCAGGCTGCGCAGGCCATTGATATTGGAATCCCCGGAGGCAGGCATTCTCCTGTCTCCCTCCAATTATTTTCGATATTCGATGGGTTTGTGGGTGCTTTCACGGCCGTGTCGGCGGGTCAGGAACTTTTTTTGCAAGTCCTGAATTTGGGGCACGCGCCGATCGTTGTCCCTGTTGGTGCTGTGTTGGCGCACGCCACTCCAGACCCTTCTCCCGA